AACCTAAAATTACAAAATACAGTGTAAATAACCTTTGCAAATATATTGCGAATTGCGATCACTGCCCAGTTTTACCCGGATCTCATGGAGTTCCCATTTTAGAGGAAAATCTTCAATTTAAAAATGAATAACAAATGAGAGAATCAAGGATTATATTTTAGTTCTTCTTTGGGGTAATGAAACCCACAACTGGAAAAAGTCTCTTCCATACTGTAAAGTTCGTTTTGTATTGTCTGAACACAGTTGCAATGGTTTGTTTGATGAACCGAACATTTTATTATACTTTTATTAGTGTCCTTACCTGTTCAACCGCGCCCCTTTTCATCCTCCCGTATCTCCCAGGATTTCATCAATGGAGTAAGTGTTAATTGTGTTTCCCCCTCCACTTTGTCCCTCGCTTCTGTTTACCACCTTATTTGCCCCATGATGGGCAAATATATTAATCAGTTACTCATTGACACAATCACCTGTTCGAAGGAGTTGGTCGGCACTTACTGCAGTCCTTTGATTGGCCGCTTCCCCCTCCTGAAAATGGTATTCCTGTATATTCAATAAAAGGAAGTAAAAACGAAACGTTTGGTGAAAACAGTCAGAACATATTATGGTACGGATGAATGAAGGGAACAGGCCATCGTGTTGCATTTCTGTATGATATATTCCTTGTCGACTGGTACAAATGTTACCCGGGAGGGTTGGGAATGAGGGGGGCATCAACGTCGAATGACTGATTCAGTCCGTATCGGTCTGGTTTGTGCGTGCGTGTATCTTTCTTCGGCTAAGTGCTCAAGCATTCTTTTTCGTCAAACCGTTCATCAATCTCATACCACATTTTCTATTGCCTGCAAACCTAGTTCCATCTAGTGTTTTCCATCTCCTAAGCGCGATCGACAACTTGGCAGAAACACGAATGTTTGTAGCAGACGACTTTCAAACAGTACCCATGAGCCTGGCACATTTAGATCAAACGTAGGTAGTAAAATTGTTGTATTAAGTTGGTGACCCTAAGATTTTTACTTTAGCCCCATATATCTGACGCATGTTGAAATTCATTTGGAGCAATAACCCGAGGTAGAGAATACCCCGACGCGGGCAGCAATCCGCTCTGATGTGGACCCAGGACAGAAAATGTTTCTAACATTTGATTTCTCCCTTGATTTTGGTTTATCCAGATTCCCGAATCCATGTGGAATTGCTCACACACATTGCGCCGGCGATGGAATGCCATTCTGAAACTATGTGAAGGTATGACACAAAATGTGGCGCCATTTAAAGCACATTTTGCTGTGGGAATCGCAGAAGAGATCAAAGCATTTCGCAAACGAGTGCGCGCATTCGTGGAAAGGTACGCCATAAAGTTGGCTGGCGGTGAATAAATCTAGTCGATTAATGTGTAGACGATCAAGCTATGGTCAACGATTACCGCCACAGTTATTATTATTATTATTATTATTATTATTATTATTATTATTATTACCCATACTATTGTTATTTCTTCGGAAGTGTCTGCTCACAGCTGATGCATAGAAACTGAGCAAATAATTACAAGTGATCTAATACAGTTGTAAACCTCCAAGACATAAGTAATGGATTCTTTCGTTTTTGACTTTGGCCTACCTGATTTGTTCATCATTACAACACTTGTCCTCGACCAATTTCAAGAGTTTTTAGTTATCTGTCATTTGTTTACCCATAGCTACAAAATATCAGGTCCGGGAAACGAATCCGAAGATTTGGACAAAGGGGTGGTCAGTTTGGCTCAGTTCGTGACCGAATGTGATGTGTTGGATGCTCGACGAGTGGATTTGCTCAGCAGTGAACGCCTTTTGGATTTGCCAATTTCTACTTATCCCGAACTGAAAGAGATGCGAGTGGAATTGCAAAAGCTCAAACCGATCTATGAGCTGTACACGGAGCAAAAGGTGTGCTTATTGTTGCTTGTGTTACTTCATTGCGAATACACGTGAATGAAACTGCATAACCTACTTCGAATATTCCCATATACCATTGATAGCTATGAACTATCGCCATTGTAAAACACCATCATAACCAAATTGTAGTTAGCTCTCTTTTGCACTCAGTTTCACATTTCATCCTTCTTTGCTGCATTTATACCGTCTTTCGTTTCCCTGTTAGACGACAGTTTCCAATTGCAGTACAGTAAAACATGTTGTATACATCTATATTCTCGTTTATCACTTGGTTTGGAAAATGTAACTGGTTTCAAATTCGATTAACGATAAGTTATTGGTGCTTATATTGGTTCTGTATTTTTTGGATATCGGAGATCTACGCTTGTGATGTATAAATTACCAGCAACAATACATGTCTAATAAGTGCTGACCAAACGCGCGTTTTGCTCAATTCCCGAAAATTTTAATATTATTCAATTTATTGTTCCTCCCCTCCCCAAATTAACTGCGCAAACAGAGTGCGCGCCAGGACTGGGCGTGCATATTGTGGAAAGATGCAAAAATTCAGGATCTAGTGACCAGTATGCGTGATTTCATCGCACGATTTCGTCAGCGACCGCGGAAAATGCGCGCTTTACCGGCAGCAAAAATGTTGAACAATACACTGAAGAACTTCCAAGAATCCTTATTGTTGATTCAAAATCTGAAAGATGATGCCATGCGTGATCGGTAAGCGACGAGGACAGTTTATCAAAGATAGACACTAGCCATTCTTCTAATAAATACGCATTATTTCTTATGCAACAGTTATGTGCAATCTCTGCGACCGAAACTGCGTTTCATACAAATTTTTGACATCTTATAGACACTGATAAGCATGACCGATCAGCCGTGCGCGCCATAGTGAAATTCCCGCTGAACGCTAGACCATACGAGTCAGCTTTTGTGAAGAAGCTGAACAATACGAAATGAGAAACCTGTGTAAATCAGTACAGGATATTTGGGAATAGGTGTAGTCGTTACTCATTCTGGTATAATAGAGTACTTCATCGAACAAAATTCGCAATCGAATTCCTTTCGTCGGACAACCACGTCTAAAGGAGTAATATACCATATATACTATATATACTGTAGTCCATAATGACACCAATAATATGCATGATTCCTGGCAAAAGTGTCACATGATTTCTGTTCTCGTGTTCGTTTGAAAAACAAATTAAAACTCGCTTCTGAGTATCAACATGTGTTGGATGATTTCTTGTGCGGATTGCTTCCGTTTGGTTTGGTTTTCTAAACCTGTCTATGATTTGCGAAATAAAATGCAACTTCGTCATGGTGATGAGTTGTTACCAATTCTATTGTAACATACTTTCCTCATTCTGAATTTAATTTCATCAATTCATTCCACCAATCAACCATATTTCAGCACGATAATATGAATTTAGTTATTTTGAAATTCCTATGAGCTACATACGCATACAGACAATTATTGTTAATTAACAACTAACGTGATTGATAAGATATAGGGCATATGAACACATCAATTGAAACGAGCTAGGACATATGGGGGGGGGGGCAAAAGCCATACGAATAATAGCCCACCGGGTTTGTTGATTCTTGTCTCAAGTTCAGTCAATCAAAAACGTTTCTGTGCGGGGGACGAATAGCCATACTCCATTCCACCAAACCCCTCATCCTGGCTCGTCAACTTATTGAAAAATATTTTTGACTGTTTATGGCGAGATCGCGTTATTCCGTCTGGGCAGGCGTTGTGATAGCTTCGTTTCAACAGGTGACTTGTGACGGCTGGGGCAGCAATCATTTTGTAAGGTTCCCCGTAGATTGCGATCCATGGAATCATAGAAATCTATGGTCCCGGTTCGTCTTTATCATCCTTGCTCTCTGTGAGACAGTGCAGGAGGTTACTTTCATTCCATTTCGCCTGTTCGCTGAGTTTGGCTATTTGTTTGCAAACGTGCCTGTGAAGCACTGATGATGTCTTCTCGGCTGGTGATGAAAAGTTTGCAAACAAATTGCCAAGCCCGGCGAACAGGCGAAATGGAATTCAGTTCACACGAGCTACGAGAACCGATTTTCAATACTTTGCCCACAGGTTATTTTCAGGCAGAAAGGGACGCAACCATGTCAACTTATATACTGCTCACTTCATGTTACTTTTCGGTAAGTTTTCCTGTGATCACCTGAATATCCCTTGGTGTATGCTTGCAACTCTTTAACCAGTCGGTTACAAAATGTGACTAGGCAACAAGCTGTTGTGTGGTAAGGTGATTTTTCATTGAGATGATGAAAGTTCACGGTATTTCAGTTGTAGGTAGTTGGAGTTAACTATTTATGCAGGGTATGTTAGAATTTACGAGTTTGAAGGCTTCTAACAGACAGGATGAATAGGGCTATCAGAGTGTCACTTCAGATGAACCTTCAAAAACGTCTGAACCTATTAAACCTAAATGAGAAATACGCGGCGTCGAATCATGACACCCCGTGGTCGAGGTTTTTGTTTTTGTCAATCACGCTGAAAAAATCACCCATACAGTAGCGATGGTTTTCGTCACACTTAATAACTGTGGATAAAGTAGTTTTCTCTGAATTGGTCTTAGAGATATTGGTAATACCTGCTTCAAGGGGAAACAGCATAAATTTACCGGTTTTTAAACAGAAACTGTGCATTTCACGGGTATTTCGGTATAACCTCATTGAGAATAGTGACAGTTACGTCTTTCCCTATACTCTGTATTCCAACCCAACTCCCCGCGTTATCGTTATTGTTAATATTGTTGTTGGCACCATGCTTGTTCTCAAGCCGGTGTTATATATATGTAGAATCGCGAATACGCAAATCCTTTGTGTGCATAAATTCATAGTTGGAATCCACTCTTTTAACAAGAGAACACTTATGATGAAAGAAACAAAACGAGTATCTTATTTTTATAGTAATAGGTCTGGTTTCATCGTAATGCTGTTCAAGACGTGATAATATATTGGTCACAATAAATACTTCTTCAATTAATTTTACCCGGCTGTTGGCCTCACAGAGAATGCTGGAAACCTTGAGGAACTGATTCAGTTCCCTCACGACTGAGGATTATCAAATGACAGCAACCAAAACCGCCTCATGAAGAAGCATGGTTACTGGTTGTAAAAACGAAAGTGAACTCTATAGTGAACAACTATAGGTGGATGAGAAGTTTCCAAAAACACAAATGTTTGTTTCGGATGAATGAAAACCGGTCACATCTTTTTTGGTGTGTTCGTCGAGCAGGAAGTATTGCTTGCATTGTATTGTACTCCAATGAGTTGCGCAAGCAGACATGCCTTAGCCAGGTTGAGCAAAATCATCAGAGGAAATTCGGGAAGCACCTGCCCTCAGTAAGACCGGCGTTTTATAGTACTGTTTGAGGGTTTTGATTGGCTTTATGCGTCCCTTCAATCTTATTGGTGAATTTTAACTGTTAGTTTCGATTCGCTAGGTTGATTTCTTGTTATGATGAACCCTCGGCCTTGTTTAATGGATTATGGATCTACACCCATCTGCAGAAGCAGACTTTAAATCAGATAACTATTCTTTTTATTTACTTAGGCCGCGCAATGACTGCTTTTCCTTGAGGTCCAGATGTGTGGTATTTCCCCAATCGAATAAAGCAGAGTAACACCTAAAGCGGCCGAGACTTGCTTCAAAATGTCAAAATGTTGGGCGGTGGTGGCCAAGTGGTTAGGTCACCAACTAGTGACCTGGGGGTGTCCCGGGTTCAAACCGCTTCACCACCGCCGCCACCCGTCTTTCCTTTATCTGTATTTTCCCCAGGCAGCCTTTGTATGGCCGCAGCCCCCTTCCTGAAAGTTAACTGTACATTTGTATATTCAATAAATAGAAAAAGGAAGTAAAAAGATATTTTTTCGTCAAGAGTTACCGAAACTCCATGTGAGTAAGGTTTTCGCGAAGCGTCATTCCCAAGGCAACCTGCTTGCATCATCAGCAGAGTAAAACTCACATCAAGTGATCTGCTAATTTAAGGTGAACCTGGGTAGAGATGAAGCGAACATCGTTTGTGCACGATCGATCGGTGTCAGCGGCATGTGGCACAAAGCGAAGCGAGAAATGTAATACGTACGGACATGACACCGGAATAATTTTATCCGCAAAATGTGTAATTCACTCCATTCTTTCTTTGAAAATAATGGCTACCTAACTATCTAGTTTTGCCTTCCTCATTATTCGCACTGAATGTTCACACCATTATCTCACCTCGAACACATGTATTTTGAAACTTGAGTCACTCCATTTTTTATAAAAGTCACTCGCAAAACGTTTCAGCTGATTTCAAGTTTTTTGTGCCTGACTGTGAAAACCACTGATACAGACATTGGAAGCAACTGATGGAAAAGACCGGGATCAGTTTTGACATGGATCCTCAGACATTTACTTTGGAAGGAGTGTTTGCGATGCAACTGCACGAATTTTCCGACGTCATCTCCACCGTGGTGAACAATGCTCAGCGTGAAGTGGTCATAGAGAAGGTGAGACACTGACCGGAATCGTTTGTGGATATAATGCTGTATTCTCTATGGTTTAAATAGTAGTTGATCTAACATACCATCGAAACTGAACGATAAATTACCTTAACACTTGTACGATTTAATTTTTTTCAAGCCCCACTAGCACCTTGGGCCTGAAAGTAACAGAATCAGACGGTATGCTGAGTGTACTGGATCTCTGGATTTTTAAGTGGAATAAATAGACTGTAAATGGGATACTCAACAAACGAAGTGCAAGTATAACGCTTTTTCTGTCGGTCAGTGGCATATAAAGATCACTAATGGCAAATTGACCGGTTAACTCAAACGTAGCTTATCTAATGCACGAGGATGTTGTTGTACGCGCTTGTGGTAATTCCGTTTGATAAATGGTCATGTTCATTTAAGCATCTATTCAATAGTTGCTTTAATCAGGTGGCGGCACACATGACGTAAGTATCTGTCTTGATTTATTCTATTCCATTTACTTTTCCCTTTGCACTGACCATACTCAAAACCCAGCACCTGGAGGATATCAAAAACACTTGGCTTGAGATGAAATTTATTCTAACTGCGTACACGAAATGCAATCGGGAACCATGCTATGTGCTCGGTGCGGTGGATGAACCAATCCAGTGTATGGAAGATCACATGATGAGTTTGCAATCGATCGGGGCCAGTCGATACGCGACTCCATTTGTGACGATTGTTCGTCAATGGGAAAAGGATTTGACCATTGTGAGCGACACACTAGATGTGAGTGATCTGTGAGCTGCATTTCAATGTTGATCTCTAATTTGCAAGGCAACTAATGAGAATCATTATTCTGGTATTCGCTCCCATGGCTCTCCTCGATGAATCCAGTTGCGTGGTACTAAACATTATTTGAACATTTTCCAAAGAACTTTCCTAAGTATAGCTTTCACTGTGGCTACTCTCTTATTTAGCCTGACCAAATTAGCTCACTCCGAAGAAGTGTTCGCTTTTGAGAGGAAAACTCAGTAAATGGTGTAAAGCATATCAGCATCCATTTACCTTCCAACGGCTCCTGTGAGACCATTGATGTCTGTCACGTTAGAACTAGTGTGTAAAATATTTAAATTTATCAGAAAGGAAAGTGGCTCTAATCCACAATACATTATCAGCCGCCGCATGGCGACTAGTTGGCTTGTCCGGGCGGTCTACGCATACTGAAACCAACGCAGCTCTGGATGTATTTGAATATAATCGAATGCGGACTGATGTTAGCTCTACACCGAAACTCAATTCTAATGCCGAGTCTTAAGAATATCTCTCGCATTGTGCTCTCTTAACACAATTTATGGTCATATGTGTGTTCAAGTACCGTAGTGCAAAAAATTATAGTGACCATGTGTGAACCCTAGCAGCGTTGCCATCCCCGGGCATCCATAAGTACTTTAGGTCTGTTTGCAATAGCCACCACTATCGGTGCCGATGGCTTTCACAAACAATTGATCGCGCAAAGCAACACCATGCGGAATTCCTATATAATCACTGCCCTCTTCCCTCACACGATTCAACTCACCTTCCGTGTAACAGGGGACCCGCGAACTATCCTTACCACAGAATTAAGAGGCGTTCTTTTGTTGGTATCTGCTTCGATGATCGAATTTATTCGAAGGGAGTTCAGCGGTAAAAACCAATCTGGACCGGAACTCCCAGAGGAGTGACTGCTGTTTGGGAAGGGAGGGGGAGGAGGTTATCAAATAAATTAAGTATGCGTAACCAAATCACGTGACACATTCCCCTTCGTTCTCACAAGCATAGGCCGGAGAAATTTAACTCAACCAGTGATCATCCACACGAATTGCCTCAGTTCTCTGCGATGTGTACGAGCGCGACTATGCCTTAATAAATTAGAGATATCCTCGGGGCGATTTTAGTTTCAGCTCGAATAACTACTGACTATGTCTTGACCGCTCATGCCGAAGCCAATGATTTCATCTGGTATGCTAAACAGAGTCACTCGGTTAACGAAAGCCTAACCCGCAAATCAGTGAAATCTTGTATGAAGCCCACAGTTCTTCAATGATTTGTATTTGCTTAGAAGAGTTTTGTGCTCTTACGACGTAGTTAACATGCATAGAGTGTTCAAACTAATTAGGGTTCTTTACGAACAGCTTGTCCCAGGGTTAGTCCACTCATTCGGGAATCTTCAGCTCCTCCAGACGAGCAAACAGTCACTGAATCCCCAGGTCAGTTATCTCTACTATTGGCCCTTCGTCCTCTCACTTCAGTCAAGAGAAGGCAGGGAGCAGGACTTCTCCTTCTTAACTCTCCCTAGACCATTTCCTGGGTTGAAAACGAAAATTCGTTCACTCTCGCAGTAACTCGGTGGTTTTAAGGACAACGTCGAAAATCATTCAGATCTAATAACCACTCTGCTTCCTATCAGTTTATATGAGTGTGCTATTCATATTATAAACATTGGTCACTACTTTCCAATTAGATAAAATCCATGGTTTATTATCTTGCTTCCGACCCTGGATTCCTTCTTTGTCTCCACAGTTATGGATCACAGTGCAGCAGCGATGGATGTATCTGGAAGCAATCTTCATGGGTGGGGATGTGGCCAAACAATTGCCTCAGGAAGCCAAGCGTTTCGAATCGATAGATAAAACATTCCGCAAAGTGAGTGAGAGTGAATCGTTCAAATACGGTCCTACCTAATGTGGTTGATCACAATGGTTTGTGTGTTCTATCGGCGAGCCGTGAAAGCTTTGTGCAATCGAGAGTCCTTTAACTTTCCTATCAGTTAACTAATCCATCAAATCTAGAGATTTTAGCTATGACTAATTGGCCTTCTACGAAAAGAGGTGAAACTCAGCCAACAAATACCATACTCATAACGAACGAGTTTTGTCTGCTCCACTCCAAGCAAAGAAGACGTTTGAAACTGGAGTAACACCATACAAATGATGCAGAGTTTATCATAACTCGTAGAACCCTGCTGGAAGTCTATACCGACCCTGAAGGTTTACAAATGTGTTGATCATAGTTAATGTGTTCACCCCATCACGGGCTTGCAATTTAATAAAAAACTGGACTAAAACAGTAGCATAGCGCATCACACCTTTCCAGCTTTTGCGAAAATTAGCATGATTTCTGCTTATTCAATAAACGAAGTAAAACTTATTGAAAATTGTCATCATTGCAACATCGAAAATCAGTCACTAGTTGGACTCAAACATGACGTTTAATGATAACAGGATCGTACTCATCACTTACGGAAACGTCTGTTGGAATGGTCGAATGCGGATTCAGTTGGTTAATCCAAGTTGGTGAGTGGGTGGTGTGGAGTTTGAGTGGTGTCTCTGGGCCTGGGGAGCTTCAAGAATAGTTACAGTAAAAGAATGTTTGTAGACTGTGACAGAGAATATGTAACAAGCGATTGAGAACGTGGAATCCGTTGTGGCCTGCAGTTGAGTGAAACGGTTGCCGCACATCACGTGATTAACCGTTATGACCTGCCACGACACGCGCGTACGCATGTCACACGAACTTACTCGGTTACAAGGTCGATCCGCCTCAGCGAATCAGAGATCAGTATTGACCGGTCCGCATGGATTGGTTGGTTGACTGCCCACCGTGACGACATACTCCTTTCGGTAACACTTGCCCAGTTTGTGACTGCCTGTCTGCGTGTTGACGCACCGCTTGCTCACTGGCTTACGGACCGGCTACGTTTGCATTTACATACTGGAAATAGAATGACTACTTAATTCACTGGTCGTGTACTTATTGACTTTACGGGATATAACAGAATCGTTTGGGAGGTTGAAGTGGTTAGAAATGGATTTCGGTTAGGGTTTGCGGCAGCAAGATGTCATACTTCAAAGGAACACCTGATTGTGTCTCTGTATGATTCTGCCCAATTACACGTTGACATTCAATCACTACAATCCATTCTTTTGTAATCATTCTCTGTATCATCCAAATCGTGGTTCATCGTTACGTAGATTATGAAGCAAACACAAGAGACACAATTTGTTATGAAATCCTGCCTGGCGGATCATCGTTTGGACACACTCCGCTTGTTGGAACAGGAGTTGGAATTGTGCCAAAAAGCGCTGAATGACTATCTTGATGGTAAACGAAACGCATTCCCGCGGTTCTATTTCATTTCCGACGACGAGGTGCTCAATATTTTGGGTGGTAAAGAGGCCGAAGTGATTCAAGAACACATTGTCAAGGTGAGTCATTCTCTTTACTTACGAACAATCGGGTTTAAAAGATCGTACACTTGCAGATACCCATGAATTGTGTGAATTCTGATATCGTTCTTATCGTTTCTATCCCGGTCTGTAAGAGTTTGTCGAACAATTCGAGGCCACTTTCCCTAGGGGCAGTTCATATAACGTGACATTAACTATCAAAATTTAGGCAGCATCGGATTCGGAACCTATCCTCTTCCTCTGCCGGCCCGAAAATCACACGACCGATTGTGTTCATTTATCGATTGGTCGGATGGTTCAGTCGCACTAAAGGACATGGCCTTGGTTCAGCTAACCCGAGCGAGAAACCAGACCTTGTCTACAGCCGGGAATCTTAGGCAGGCCCAGTGAACTTGGACTGTGCAGCAGGAGTGCCATCAGCACATGGATGAACTGGACGTGACAACAAGAGCATTACGAAACGTACAAGCCGGTAATCAGACAGTCTGGTGTTGGGGTGGGGTAATCCAAGTGCCGCAGATCGCAGGAATATGATCAGATCACAGAAAGGCTAAGAGGGAGTGTACTTGTTTAAGGTCACGGATGAGCGGGATGAGACGATGGAGCAATCGCACTGTATTGCAACATCATGCGATGGAGGTAAGCGATGTCTCAAGCGTTGATCGCGTATGATTCACTGGTATCAGCGGAGGGGGACACACAGGCATACGCGTACTAGCAAGATAGACAACCGATATGTGTCATGGGAATTGAGGCGTATGTGACCGAATCCCGTCTTACAATCGTTCCCCGCACTTCATCGTGAGGTAGAGAAATCGGTGTTGCATGGTAGTCATCCAAACATCGCTGGAAGGCTTGTCAGCACCGGTGAGGTCAACGCGACAGCTTGAAATAATCGGACGACATCTTGATATGATAATGGGACAACTTGACTTGCAAAAGGTATAGACCTGCGAGTGAAATGAGTAGACAGAGTACAGTTGTAGAAAAAGCATTCCCCGCAGCAAAACTGCGTATTGTGCTCATTTCCAGGCCACTTCTGTGCTTTCAACTCAAAGATAAATTGCCTGTTTCTGCCATCTCTTTCTATGTGTACTTTACCTGTTCCTGTGGGGCGAGGTACATTGGCCGCACTAGCAGAAGTTTATCTGAAAGAGTCCGTGAGCATCACCCGGCCTGGTTGAACAGTGGATTAATTAGGAACATTAACAGCTCAATCGTTTAACACTTAGTGGAATCAAACCACTTAGTTAATGTGATCGAGGTGCTTTGACCCCTCTAATTGGTTCTTACCTGCCGATCTAAGAGGATTAGGAGTCGCATTTTGGTCACAGCGGAAGCGATCGAAATTCACCTGTAGAATCCCCCCTCCTATGCTCTCAAAAACAATTCGTAAGAACACTCGATCTTCCATGGCCAACACAACACACGACACAGCCATCTCCTCACCCACCCCTAATAACTCAAACCAGTGCGCATATGTGAGGACCAAAGTGTGAGCAACATTCAGTAATGGAACTGGAACGTTGATTAGATCTTTTCCAACGTGTCATGATTTTTCCCCTCTTCTAAACAGTTTGATATAAATTGTGATGTATTAGCTTATAGAAGAATCACCGCAAACGAGCTTGTTCGCTACTTTGTGTTTTCTTACAATGGGAAATGAGTAGGTGTAAGAACGCCCCTGTTTGTGACACTCAGCCATATCGTCCGATTCATTTAATCACCATTTCGGTGGGCTACAAGGTCCCCAACCAGGAAGTCGAATGTGAACTGTCAATTGGAGTCCTAGTAAGGGATTTTGAATTCTCATTCCAGGTCTTATGTTGACCACACACTGGCTTCCTCGCCGGAAATCGCGAGCCGAGAAAACCTGTCTGGTGACTTGCGCAATGTATCCGTTTAAATCGAGCACTGGTTGTAGTATGTGACGTTGTCGTGGTACCAATCTAGGAGGAAAAATATATGTTTAGCCTTGGTTCTTAGCCCCAGTATAATCTGTATTTGTTATTGTCATTCTTATTATATGTCACATGGTGTTCAAAACTCCTCCGAACCGTAGTGGTCAGAATCAGTGCACAGATTAATGGCACAATTCGAATCCGTACCAAACGAGTATGATCCAAATACCGAATTACCAGTCTGTCTTCTTGTTTTACCCTGATGAAATGTTTCCCATTGGTCTCTGCCAATTCACTGAATCAGTTTCCAGAACCAATGGATCTAATAACACATCTGAATGATAGCAACCTATACCACAAGTGAAAAAGAATGATCTGGTAACATTTCCAAAGACTGAAAGGAGAACATTTTTTCTTACACGCTTTAGTATTATCATCATGCGTCTGAAGGAGTATCATCCAATCACGAAAGACATTAAAACTGATATAAATGTAATCTTAGAGGTGTAAGACAATTATGTGCATATTTATGCTTCATATAACTTTTATATACGTGAAAAAGTATGTTTCACTATTTGCTGCACTCTCTTCCTGTTAAAATCAGATGTTCGACAATATTGGGAAATTGCGTTTTACCTACTCCTCACACTCTTCAGATGTTTCGGTCAATGCTTTGATCTCGTTCGAAGGTGAAGTTATGGAATTCAAGAAGGTGAGTTCATTTTACCCCCCCCCCCCCCGCTCACACATGATCGAT